CCCAGCGGAATGAAGCAATGTAATATCTTAGTCAGGGCCGAGTAGGTATAGCCGTGAAATAAGATAATACATAGCAACTTTCAACTGAGCCTTTTGTATAGTGCCGGCTCATCACAGGAGAGACCACCGTAATCTCTTTTTCTTGAATACTACCAATAGCCAACGCGCGGCTGCCGATACAACTTCTTTTCTTACGACTTGAATACTTATTTCAAATCTGCGTCAGTGTTCCCACAATTCAAAAGTGATGATGGGCTCAATGTGCATCTTTTTCAAAATAAGCTGGTGACTCTGACATACCGCATTGACAATACACAGATGATAAGCTCAAATGAAGGCTGTTCTTGAAACGAGGCTTTCACATATAATGTACTTAATACTGCTCAAGTTAAGGAGTGGCATATTTAAATGGAAATGTAATGTGGTAAAGTTTATGATAAGTATGCACGACCTAAGAAAGCTAGTGTGATGTGTACATAAACCACTACAACCTTACCAACTGATATAGAAGATTTACGTCAATCATCAATCAAATTCTGATCGAAACATCGCGTGAGGCTATCCACCCGCTTGTCTTAGACATATCTTCATTTTGGAGTAAAATGTTGTGACATCGTCAATACTAGAACGCTGTGATACTTGATTACCGTTCAGATCCAAAACTTGAGAGCTGTTCTTCAAGTCTAAAGGACAATAGTGTAATGTTAATGAACAACTATAACACTATTATACCCTTCTGCACCAAGACGTAAGTTTCGTTGGAATCTCAGTATCGTCTTTAATCCTTGTTGTGAGGATTAATAGGAATGTAGCACTCTTTGTAAATCGCTGATTTGCTCCTATCATTCAGTGCCTTTTGATTAACCTGACAACAGCTTTTCCTTCGGTACTATAGAATTGACTTGATATTCTTTCTGTAATGCAGTTTCTTCATGATACACCTCACCTAGCTTTATCGGTTCTTCTACCTGGTTCAAGTTATGAGGATTATACCCCCAATGTAACGGAATTACACGTACCCTGGTAACAGGGGTGTGTGTCACATGAGATGTGCATGGTGTGACTGCACCCAAACAAGAATACGGTATGTGGTTAGGTAGCCAGTAGTTATGCGGAAAGTGATGTACAGCAATAAGCGATACTCATGTATTTTGATTTTACTATATATATTTAGGAAAAACTATAAATTCAAAATAAGGCGGTTTAGCCGCAGATATTGAGCTTGAACCGAAGAGTTTATTAGCCTTGGTTAAGGTAGTAACTACTCTTGGAGTTAGCGGGTTGCGATTCGCTACACTCGAATTGGCTCTTGGAAAGAACGAAAGGTCGGTGACCTAAATTACGCTTCCTCAAGCGCTGAGCTACAGCAGCCCCGCTGCACCTAATCACCACCCCGTCCATCCACAACTGTATGTATTAGTCGTCACAAATCCATAAAGCTTTGATTTTTATACGATGGGCATGAAGCTCGTTATCACTCACATAGCGTGAATCTTTTTTAGCGATTAACACACGTCAATCGGTGCTGCTCACTCAGCTGTATCGTTGGACAGTGACATACATGAACCATCATTAGGAACAACAGGAAGAAGCCGTACCACTCGCAACTCACAGTCGCATGTATCAACAGGGGCCGAAGGGGCTGCAGCAGAAAGTCGCCACACTCGGAATGAACCATAGAAACCACGATACTTGAACGCTCTTTTGGCCAATAGAATACAAATCTGGAGACTGAAGCTCAGCGTTGTCTTTTCCAAATTATGTTTCCGTAGACTGTGATATGCGGTACTCTCAGCAGATGCTGACTGAGAATGACTCTTTTCAACATTGCTGATACCCGTCTTGGCCAGAAGAATTTCTGATACTGCGGGTAGTTTCTTAACATATAGTTTTTAGCCACTAATTTGGACAATTTCGTGCTCTGTATCAAAGCGGTGAACGCTTCGTGGTACGTCAAAACGTATTTACTTTCTTGCAGGAATGTGTTCGAAACACCTACAAATCTCACGAGTAGAGCAGTATTGTTTTTGACCTTTAGAACACTCATGGCTGAGTCCAAGTAGTATGTATTATTAGATTTGACTTACTTCTCTATGTCTACATCGAATAGCATATACAAATTTACTTTAATTTCTTGAAACCTATCCGAGCAGATTTTCTACTTGGTTGGTGTTGGAGGGACCTTTATTGTGCGGATGAAGCTAATGGTTTGGAACCATAGGTTGTCGCCTAGGCCGGTTTTCTTCGGCCGTGCTGTCCCCGTGTCGGACCTTAACCTGGGGTATTCAGCCGCAACGTCCAGACCGGAAGTCGGGCTCAGGCCTCCCGTCAATCTTTCATGCGCAGACAACGACCGTCTAGCCACGATTCCAGTGTCGTCGTCTTTGTTGGGTGCTTCCGCAGGGGGGGTCCAGCGCCGGGGCTTGTCTGGGAACTCAGCCTCGCCTTGGCCACGTTATCATTGTGGTGGGCCTCAACCCTGGGGCCCTAAACCTCAAAGTCCCGACAGGATTTCAGGATCAGGCCGCCCTTCACCCTTTCAGGCGCAGTCGACGACATTCCCGACCCGTTGGGGGACATCGGGGAAAGCCCAGCGCCGGGGCTTGTGTGGGAATTCGGACTTGCCTTGGCCACGTTATCCATGTGGTGGGCCTCAACCCTGGGGCCCCCATCCGCAACATCCAGATCAAGAATCGGGCTCAGGCCGCCCGTCACCCTTTCTGGCGCAGACGACGACACTGATGGGCACTGTATTGCGTGCGAATATAATGTTTGAGGAAGTTGAAGACCGTCTTTGCAAGATTCCCGACCTGTCGTCTTGGTTGGGGGCTCCTTGGGGGAGGCCTCGCAACGGAGGCTGATCCGTTGGCTATGGGCGGCGAGGCTTTCACTTTTGGACTTGATCGTCTTGACTTTGGGGGTTGGCAGCAAATTGAAGAATGAGATTAATGAATGGAGGCGCAAAATCACCTGCCAGACTTTCTGTCCTCCATGTCGATCCACAACAAATCAAATAACTTTGTGAACTTGATACGTAGACATGCGTTTCCACCCTTGTAACCTGATATAAGGTATTGCAGGTATCCAATTTTTGGACACTCGATCGTTTGTTTGGAAGAAAATGAAGCCTAGGATGGGTGCGAAAAGGCTGGAAGCGGGGAAAACGTAGTATTGCGACTACTATAATCGGTGCGCAGCAAAAAGGGCTGTGTTGGCCCGAATTAATGTGCCCAACGAGTGTGACCGTCGAAGCTGAGACAGCACATCAGCAGAGACGGTTGCTGCGCTCTATCGTACACCTTACTTATACATGCACGTATGTGCGCACCAAACGTGGTATACACGCAGGCACCAGAGGCAGTGGTGTACGTTGACGGAACAAACCATCATTGCGCACTGACCACAGGAGGGGAAGCGTAATGCAGCCTGTAATTTGCCATAGACCCTCCACCACGGCGGCAGGATCCAACCAAACGTGCTGAATGGATATTCGACGACTACGAGCAATGTCGAGCCACTTGGGGCTGGTGACGAAGAATGCAGAACAGTCGCAAGACAGGACAGGCCAAAGCCCTGCTGCTAAGACGCAGTCAAAGAACAATTGCCGCTCAGTCTCTGCCGCGTTGTACCCGCTGCGCACGCAGTAGATGATGTCTGGGTGTGCAGTGCGCAAGAACGAGAAACGTGGGCGCACCGGCAGCAGACGAAGGGCAAGTCGGAACTGCAAATCTCCGTATACTGGAAACAGCAGCCTACGTAAGCGCTTGGACTGGCTCACGAATACGTTGATGTCAGTTACCGTGCTTGATCGTCGTACAGCTGAATCGAATGGGGCTTGGTAGTTGTCGGTGCCTTCCACACAAGCAAGAGTAGATGAGACCGAGGTATCGAGGGCACAACACATATTCGTTCGCCCTTACGCGCACCAAGATATGGTGGCTTGGGGCACACCCAGCTCTCTCCTGGGTGGGAGCGGTGCATCATGCACATGCCTCGCAATCGCTTGAAACGTTGTGTGGCTTCGTTGTGTAGACGACGAAGCCACCGATACTGCTGGTACGCCGAAACGGACATGAGTCGTTAGTCAATGTGACTTATTGCAAACGCATAAGCATCCGGCCATGATCCTTCAGCATCAAGAAAGTCAGCAAGGTATCGAAGCTTGAAGGTTGCTGCAATGTGTTGACGGAAGCTCCGTTGGGGTTCAGCAACCATGCACAGACTGCACCGGTGTAAACCTGAGCTGTCGATTCGAGGGGTGGGTTCAAACTTAAAATCCAATTCAGCTTGGAACCAGATCGACTGGATCAGCACATAGCCAAAACGAGCGAGAGGGGCGAGGTCTCGCAATGCAACTTCCCATTTGACCCAATACCACAGACGCCAGACCTGTCGCCACCATTGGGACAGTACGTCCCATCGAAGCAGAGCACCATGCCGCATGGAGCTCACAGCGAGGAGGTCGAGAGATTTCCATGGGCCCCATGGTGGCAGCACGAGTGACAGTACTGCAATCCAGGCGTGGTCCAGTTACGTTGTGCCGAGGTCGACAAAGCGATGAATTGAAGCAGCACGTTGAGTTTTTGACGCTTGAGTAAAGCTTCGATGCTGGGTATAGACAGACCACCATCGGAGCGAGATTGATAAAGAAACTCCGTGGAGATTACCTGGATGTGCTTTGCGTTGCGTTCATAGCGACGTGCTATCACAATGCAGTTGAGTGTGGGTTGCCACTGTCCAACCACACGATGTGGAATTGGTACGTGCACCTTGTAGTGCCATAACCGAGAGCAAATCATGGTCAGTGCAATCAGCAGACGGCCTCTCAGGGTACGAGCGCTACGGAGCCACTGGAGAAATCCCTCGTAAAAACGCCGGTCTAAGAACTCCACGATAGCGTCTTTGACTGGATCTTTACAGAAAAGGACACCCATGAACTTGACGGTCTCCGTACGCCAAAGCGTCCTGACGCCAGGATGCTTGGCAGGTTCGTTTTTTTATTTAGAGGCATAAGCACACATTTGATAAGATTGAGCTTGGTCCCAGAGCGTCACAGTACAGCTGAACCAGGTCAAGCTGTGCCTGTATACAGGATAGCGAGCTGGAGAGCGGCGTTGAATCGTCGGCAAAGAAGACGCTGCTGGTGGTGTGATCTTTGGCGATGAAAATATCGTGCTTTCATGTTGCCTGAGCAGATTATCCAGCGGTTCGATAACCATAAAAGACAGTAGCACTGAAAGCGGGTTACCTTGTTTAACGCCCCGTGTGGGAAAAATCGGCGATTGGATGTGACCGTTTAGCAAGAGGTGTGCCGTTGGATTCGTGTAGAGAAGCTTCACCCAGTCAGTGAAGTGCCACCACAGCCCATGCGGTCGAGCGCCTGGAACATATAATCCCAGTTGACCCGATCGTATGCCTTCTCGGGGTTTCCTTATTACGAGCAGTTACGAGATCTTGCAGATCCGCCATGAAGCGCACGTGATGACGTATTGACCGACCTTTCACGAAAGTCTTCTGATTGCCATGTATAAGCTGAGGAAGAACGGTTTGCAGGCGATAGGTCAGGACCTTGGACAGGGCTTTTTCATTAACACCAATGAGTGAGATTGGTCGGAAGTTGCTAGGATCATCTCCGGAGCCTTTCTTGTGTAGTATGTAAACAGCTGACTTGCGTTGGGAGGGGAGGTGCTCACCGCGTGACAGCTGGTAATTGAATACTGTACTTAGGTATTTCACGAAGGGTTCAGCCGCAACGTGGTAGAAGCCAGCTGTAAGGCCATCCATGCCAGGCGCAGAGTTGGCTTGCATGTTCTTGAGCGAGTCGGTGGGTGCAGCTCCAGAAATTGTGGCATTTAGCAAAGTTTGGTCTTCTGATATGAGATGCTTGTCAATCGTGTCCAGCAGCTCTAGGTAACTGTCAGGATTAGTAATTGGAGGTGGTCCTGTACACCTGTCAGCATCACCCCATAATAGCTCCCCAGTGGACGTGGAAACTTGCTGAAATATCAGCTGGGTTCTGCGAGATATTGCAATCTAAGGTTCGAAGTTCTTCAATACTCACCCGCCGGAGTGATGGGTCGAACGGACGGAAGAAGTACCTAGAAGATGTCTCGGCATTCTGGACTTGGAATTCAAAAGCCGAGTCACAATTATAGCAACGAGCCTGGGACACGCAGCCGCGGTACGCATTCAGTGCAGCATGAAAGGCATCTTTGGAGATGGTGTCTCGTTCGATGCGGTATTTTGTCGCCCCTTGGTCTAGCGAAGGTTGTGCGATCCTAATTGCAGCGTCATTTTGGTTTCTTAGCTTACATTGTTGAGCCTGGATCTGTCTCCTCATGGACCTCTTCTACTTTTCCCAGACCCTGCCTGAATTTGGAAACTTGCTGGGCTTCGCCACGAATGGCATTCACAACATCCGAGTAATTCAGGAGGTAGTCCGGGAAGCTCCAGTAACAGTATCCATGAGGCTGAGACATGGAGCGCAGGGTCACTGTATGCGCTAAGTGGTCACCTGCGCCCCCTTAGGCTAAAAATACTTGGAGTCGCCGTACAGTGCGTTGCAGAAGTCTTCCGACAACAACACGTATTCGGTTCTGGCTCGGCTGAAGATCACTGTAAATGCGTTCATCTTAGTGTTGGATGCGCCAAGCATCAACAACACCCAACTGACCTAGCCAACTCATATAGGCGCTGCGTCCGGGCGAGCACATAAGCGTGGTTTGGCAGAGTCAACACTGGGATTGAGGA